GAAACTGTGAAAATATTTTTTAAAGAAAGAATTTTGAGATCTTAACGTAAACTACTGGAGCTTCCGCTTAAACTAGCATAACAGACCTATATTGAATTCTCTTTAATATATTCGAGAGTTTATCGTTAGTAGAAAGCGTCAACGCTTTCCTTAGTCCTATTAATTCTTTCACATTAGCATAACTAAGTTACTTAATATTGGATAGTCGAAAAATTCTTTTCGTATTTCTAATCAAAATTCAAAATTTTGGGTACAGAATATGCTCGTAGACTTTAGAAAACATGTGTTGGCTAAACACAGGGCTATAGGAGCAATTAAGACTTATGGAAAGCGTCAATAGAATAACAAGAATAAAGAGAGTAATTGAGGACTGTAGCACCGTTCTCACAACAATCGAGTCTAAGTAACCGGAACGGAACCGGATTTTTATCTTGTCAAGGACTGTCAACTCGACTCGAAATTGCTTCAGAAATATTTACTGCCGCTACAAAAACAACAACAACAAGAATAACATTATATATTATTCTCATGAATCCAGGCTTGACTAACAATCGCTAAAGATAAAGCAAATGAAGCACTATGGTTCTAAAAATTGTCTACATCATAGCCAACACTCTTCCGTGAATAAAGATAGATTATAAGATATGACGCTGAAATATTTCATTCTGAATGCTCCTCAAAACTTGAAACTGCTTAATTTCTGCACATGACTACAACACGCCGGTCAGCTGTTTACGGTTTTGACATTTGGCGAAAAGTTACACTCACAATTTCAGCAGTTACTCTCTACACGCGCTCGCTCCCAAACTTTCTCATGCCATATTCTCTCTGCATATTACTTTCAGGCTCGCTTTTCCGCTTTGAGCCTTGAGTTGTGTCACTTTTACGCTTTGCTCTCAACGAAATGCCGCTCACAAGGCTTATTATGTGCTTGCTCTCTCGCATTGCCGCATGTATGGAATGAATGTGAGCACGTKTGTTCGGGCTTCGCCTTGCAAAAACACCTGAGTTCTGAGAACGTTGTCGCAGTGGCAGCAAGACAACTAAATGCCGATTTGGTTTGTAGTTGGGGAAAATGTGAGAGCGCAGCTAAAAAGAGCAATAACGGTAGCAGCAATGGCAACGAGGATGCCAATAGTAGTCGTAGTTGCACACACAATAATGTACTTTTTTGACATTTGTGTTATTTCGTGACACACAAATCAATTTCGTCGTCGTTGTCGTTCGGTGGTGTGTTACGTGAATTTTTCCAAGCGAAACGATTCTATGAAAAACAGTTATTGCAGTGAAAATTTAGCTATAGTGCAGTCGAATAATGTCAGATTATTGTTCAATCATAAGTATGAAGTTCGTGACTGCAAAGTCTATAGACATTTCTCCAGTTTTATAAGAATTTAAGCATTGCACACTGCTTAAATGCGAGGTGCCTGCGCTGTAATTTGGTGACAATGTGTTAAAAAGTTGATGGCAATAGTGACACAATTTTCACGCACACATGTGTACACACGTAGCATGGTAAAGTGTTATGTGAAAACCGGACGGTTTTTGTGGGTCTCCAATGACCGCTAGCGGAAGTCGGAAGCGGAAGTCGCTTGGAAATTAGTGTTTGGCGTATGACTTGGCGGTRTTTCGGTTGGGGTTTGACTCAAAAGTGCCACTCAAGATGTCGGTAAGTGTGGAAAAAGTGCGTTAGGCTGCGTACTAAGGCTCAGGCCTACATTCAACTGCATTTCTGAATAAATATATATTTAGTTAATGGTGAGTATGTGTCTCTAATCCACCAGCTACTGGCAGCACATATACGTAGTGACCTGCCATTTCGCTGCGCGYTCCATTCAAAGGCTCACATGATGGCAGCATGCGAGAGCAGCCAACAACACAAAAACACACACGCATACACACACAAGAACCACAAAGCAAACACGCAAAGTGCTAGCGTGCAGCAGTGGTTGCTCATACCACACAGCGCACCAGCAGCGCCACTGCCGCTGGCGCTTCTGCCACTGCTGCTTTGCTAATCGATTTTGTTTCCGGCATTTTTCACGTGGTCTCAGCCAACCACTCTGCCTTCACTCGCTGGCACATACAAGCATATACAAGCGCTTGCCTGTTTGCGTTTCGCTGGCAGTCCATTTCAGCGTTTGTCATTTCGTGCCTCTTTGCTTGAGTAAGCGTCAAGCGTGCCGTTCCTTCATTGCTCGCCAACTTTATTTGGTGTTTTTTTCGTAGTTTTTGCAACAATGCTCGTGTGCGCGTGTGTATGCGCGTCAGCTGTCTAACGATTTTTCCCCGAAAACGCATAGCAATTGTTTGCAAAAGTGTAGCTATGACTATGCAGCGCGTTAACACCGCTCAGGGGGRCCAAARTCGCARCGCGTAGTGACCAGTTTATTGCCGCTTTGATGACTTCTTGGYTCCATGGTTGGCCGCTGTGGGCGCTGCAGCTGGTGGATGACTGTGCCTTGGCTACATGCTACACGCATCTGCAGTTAAATGCATAAATACGTGTGCGTGTGTGTGTGCGCGCATTGGAAGTGTGCAAAAGGGGGCCTGTCAGCGTCTGCAAGTCATTTTCCTGCTTTTCTTCCACAATACTTTCATTGTTGTTGTTGTTGCTATTGCGTCTGTTGGTCTGCGCTCGGTCTGCAGTTGCTGCCGAGTGCTGTAGCTGTTGTTGTTGCCTGTAGCTGTATATCTGTGTTGTGACCTATCGACCGGATTTTTGTTGCTGGTGCCTGCCACAGCCGACCGTGTGTGTGTGGATGAGTGTGAGCGCTCAAATATAATAATTCTGTGTGCCCTTTCAYAGCGCTTGAAAGTAATGTACGAGCTATTGCAAAGKCCGACCAAGAAAAAGTAAAATCAAGTGAAATATTWGTAATGAAGCTGTTGCAAGCAAAGTGCAATAATGTTAATTGCTGGAGGTGCTACCCTGCTCAGTGYGTGTGTGTGTGTGTGCGTAGTCAAATATAGTACAAATGTCTGGTTAAGATTCGTGCGCGAAACTTGTTTCTCTCCATGCCTTTGCTTTCCATTCGCTTCTCCCTTTTCTAGCACAATTTCTTGTAACTTTGCTCCAGCAACAAAACGCTCTCGCATGGAAATTACATAATGTGAGGTACACGCATATACACACACATACAYATGCAGGTGCATGTGTGAGCGTATGTGTCTTACGGAACAGCTGACCGCCTGTCGCTACACACATTCTAAGCCGTATATTCGCCTGTCTGCCGCTACGTGTCTGGCAGCGCTCATCCAAAAAAAGGACTTSAAAGTGCAATTGCCGTAAAAAATTTCACACAGTTGTCGAAGCTAGCGCAATGTGACTGGTGTTGCAACATGCCTGCACTAACGGTACTTTTTACTTTCTCGGTGCAGGGCAGTTCAAACGTGGCACACAGCGCGTTCGGTCGTGGCATTTCGCGTAGATTGGGTGCAAGTAACGTTTAGTTGCCCAAAGTGCTTTCTAAGTAAAGCGGATATTCTTTATTGCTTGAATATTCCAGCAGTTGAAAAGTATACAGTTAATTAAAAGTATCCTGTTAAATTTTGTTTCATTTTAAGAAACGCACGCTGCTTACAAAAGTATTGAATAACTAAATARAATTAGCAATGAACTAGTCCGCGGCTAGTTACAAGCTGGTTTATTTATAAAAAAATATATTTTTTCTTTGTTGATTTGGTAATTAGGAATAGTAATTAGTATTAAATAACTAAATGAAAATATCAACGAACTAGTCGGCGACTAGTTACAGAATGGTTCACTTAAAAAAAAAATATTTTCGTATATTTAGTAATTGAGTAAWGTAATTWGYATTGAATGCCTRAATGRAATTATTAATGAACTAGTCCGCGTTTAGTTACAAAGTGGACCAAAATCCAAAAAATAGTCACAGATGTTAGGAAATTGAGAACAGATAATAGAACTAATTTRGCTTATTTATATATTTCTATTTTGTATCATGACAATCAATTTAAGAATTTAATATGGAAATTTTCAATCGCATTTTCTATCTATTTTTACAGGTGTAGAATACCGCGAGACGATGTCAATCGACAGAAAATTTAAAAATGGCAGCATAAAAGTGCTCATTCTTCCTGAAAGCTATTGAATAACGAACTCGCTGCGGAATATAATGTTACAACGAAATTTCTTCATAACTSACAAAGCTGAAAATCGAGACAAAAACAAAAAAATATATAAAAAAATTTCAAACAATAAATTCAGTTTGAACAAAAAAGTACGAATAAAAATATATTAAATAGCTGATAAATAAAAATAATTATTTTAAAAATAATTAAATCAAAAAAGTCGAATTGAGCGTTGAAGCTTTACACCAGAAAATAATACTAGTGCTAACCGAAATTAATAATTTTTATTCACACAAATAAGTTATGCTTTTTAGCTTCTAAGATGCTTACATTTTTACTCGCCTGTGGAAAAAAGCATTAGCAAAAGTTAACAAGGAAAACTGATTAATATCAAARAAGCGAAATAACGCTAACAGTGCATAACAAAAGTGTTCACTCATTACTTGTAACGCTGCTTCAATATTTGTGGCGTTAAAATTTAAAAAATCCATACCACAAAAAAAAAAAAAAACCAAATTGTATGGAAATTAATGCAAAAAAGTGAAAATTTATTAACTTATATTTAAAATAAATTAATATAAAAAATGAAAATAAAAACATGACACTTACTTTACTATAAAATATAATAAAAAAAAACCAACAACAATAACGCAAGCGTAAAAAAGAATCTATAGAAATTGAAAAAACGTTTATTGTGCAATGTTAAACGAAAATATGTTTGCAAAAAAATTTAATTTTTTTTTTCAAATAATTAATAGAAATGCAACCAATACATAACTAAAAAAATACACACGCTAATATTAATCAAACAAATATTCCGAAAAAATTATAATTAAGTCCAAAAAAAAGTATTAAATACAAAAAAATTTAAATACAAAAATAACCAGTTAAAGCAATTAAAATAATTGAGCAAAACATATACACAAAATCGATTTAACGAAAATATTTAATTTGTTTTCGAGAACTTCATCAGTGGTCGCTTGTGGTTGTAAAGCGTAGCCGAATGCGAATCTTAATTACATGCAAAATAAATGGGTACAATGAGGCCAAATAAATACGATGTGAGTATTTTACTAAAGATYATGAAAATTTGTAAGAAAAAGAAGCTAAAGCATTAACTTCGGTTGCGCCGAAGCTGAAATACACTTCACAAATAACGAAGTTTCCATGAAAGAACTTCATTTTGGTGGTTTAGTTTGTATAACAGCTGTACGATATAGTGGTCTGATTTGAAAAATTTCTGCAGATATTATAAGCTTGTGTTAAAAAATTATTAGTACCATATTTCGCTACTATATGCCGCCAAAAACAGAAGATTTCCATATACATACATATGTAGTTGATTTTGAACGTAKAGTTTGTATGGCAGCTATATGCAATAGTGGTCCGATGTGAACAATTTCTTCGGGGAGTACATCGTTGCTTTAAATACTAACACAGGCTAAATTTCGTGAAGATATCTCGTCAAATGAAAAAGTTTTCCATACAAACACTTCATTTCGATCGTCAAGTTTGTATGACAGCTATATGCTATAGTGGTCAAATATCGGCAACTTTCGTCAAATAAGCAACTTCTTGAAGAGAAAGAGATGTGCGCAAAATTTCGTAGCGATATCTTAAAAGCTGTGAGACTATACTAGACTTATATTATTTCTTTAAATCAAATTTTTTATATTTAATTTATATAGAAAAAAATTAATACTTTCATATATCATAACATTTCCTTTGATTTCTTGCAATTATCTGCGTAAATATTTTCTCTCACTGTAATGTCTGTCATTTACGTTAAAATATTATATCGAGTCTCGAATATTTTGTGYGCGATAACACAAGTTGTCGCCATTAACTAAATCAACTATCAGCTATTTCAATGTAATGCCACACCTCTTTTTACCGAATTCTGACCTAGTTAACGGCAATACTTCATTSCACATGTGTATGTTTACAATTTGGTTTAATTATTTTTATAAAAAGTAAATTTCCAAACAAATTTCGCTAATCCGAGGCAAAAAATGCCAATTTCATTTATTTACACGAATCAAAATAAATAATGTGTTGTTGTATTTACAGTTAATTTATTTTTACTCAAGTGTCATTTCTACTGTGCGGCACCACTTCGGGTGTCGCGGTAGTGTTTTGCAATTAAAATAACAAATGACAGTTGGATGAGTGGTCACTGCCACATGGCAGTACATGCCACCGCTGGCGCACACATGTAGACAATAAATGTGGGTCAATGAACTCTAATAATGTTTAATAATGTTATATGAGCACATTGAAAACGATATGTATAAACAATGCTTTGCAAATTTGTTGACAAATGTCTGGTCATTAGTGCGAGTATTTATGCTTTCTTGGTAAAATCGAAGCTTGGCAATTTAGGAGAGCGGTTTGCGAGCAGACAAATTGTGCTTTTATTTTTTGTTGAAGTTGCGATTTTAATTCACTATTGGTGTAAAAGTTTTATTCGAGTATAGTCTTAAAGCTTAATGCTAAGCAGGTTATAGTTTCAGTTAGCCATGTTTTATGGTGTCRTCATGCTTTTGCAGTTGCGGAGTAACTTTTGGTGAAAAGTAACTTCGTCTATATTTTATATATTGATTATATACATTTGTTACAAAAAGAAAATATAAAAGTTCCTTCATAATGCGGAACAAAGTCGAGCTTTTGCTACTGTGTTTATAAAGATCTATTAAGTTTTATTTGGATTAATTGCAAGGGCTACTTTGAACTAACTTCTTAAAAAGTTACTTTTTTCGTTTATATAGTATATAATCGTGTTTGTTAAAATAGGTTAGGTGAAGTTATGTCATAGAGTTGATCTGTCTTTTGTGTTTCCCAAAAACTCCTTAAAGTGCATCAACTCATAGATCGACGAAGCGGTTTGAACTTAGCCAAAGTTCCCCAAAGATGTATCTATTTATTTTATTTTGTAGTACCACTTGTGCCCAGTAAGAACTCCTGCCATGGCTGCGAGAACTTGTTAGAGGCATGTAGTTTGGAGGACTTCTTACGGTACACTTTGGGCCAGAAGGGTGCCACAGTTGTTGAATATCGTCTGCAAAGCTCTCTGAAGGTCCATGGTTCGGTCAGCTGAAATTCTTGTAGTGGTCCCCTTCCTAGCAAGCCCATCGGCTTTGCGCTTTTCGGCGATTCCGCTGTGACTGGACACCCACATAAGCAAACTCTTTAACGAGTTTAGAACTCATAGTCAGCAAGCTCAAAGCCAGTGGAGCCGTTCAGTAATCAAAGTGAATGTACACCTCTTTGAAGGACGCTGCACTTCAGAGCAGTATACTCGTATCTACCRCTATATTGATAGCAGCCAACTCCGCTTGAAAGACGGTCCCGACCTAAGGCTCCACTGAAGAGCTGGATCAAAAAAAAAAATAAAATACAATTATTGTATAATAAACTTGCGACACCTGTGACATTGTTTGGAAGTGTATTGCTGCGAAGTGTGTCCAAGACTCAGGGAAGATAGGTATATGAAGTGGTCTGAAAAAAGGCACGCTGAAAATCCCTCCTTCTTCCACGAAATCTTCGCAAATCTGGATCACTGAGTCAGAGAGGCAGATTTTTTTCTCTGATCACATACCAATTAGGGATATACGATTTGGAGAAGTAGATGAAGTAGAGGCGCAGTGAGTCTTTYCAGGAATAAGTCGAAGTTAGTAGAGTAAGTTTGCTTTGCCTTCGATAGCATAGTGGCAATACCAGCCAGTCAAGGAGTGTCTGTCAGCGCTGTAAATAGCATCAAGCGTCAAGCATCATAAGAGTCGTTTGGGTGCCTAGTCACAGCGATATGGTTGGCAACTCCAAAGGCGATGGGCCAGATCCGGCACTCTTGCACCGCCTACATCGAAAGGGTGTCAAGTTGGATCTCCATTGACGTCTTGTGTTTTAGCATTGGATCAATGGAACTCGCGTGGCTGGTTGACAACTAGCTCCTTGACGACCACGAGATTCTTATGGCCTAGAGTAGGACGCCGGAGATGTTTTTAACTACTTCATATTAGTAAAATTAATCTTGCCGCAGTCGTCAGGGTTCTTAGTGGACACAATCTAATTAAGGGGAGTGAGGCAAAATAATCTAAGTGCTTTCTTCGTCGTTATACAGTCTTTGCAGTACTATTCTAAGGCATCACCGAAGTCTTTGTTCTGAAACTGAAACTGATTTTGATCGTCTCAACAAATTTGAGGCCTTCTGAACTCTTATATAGGATTTTCAGGTGTCTTAACGAAGCCGCATTCAAAACTGTTCAAGTTCGATTCCTGTTAAGATCGTCCTCTAAACCTCATCAACCCTAATAAGTTTGCGTTACTATCCTCCATTAGTCTTATTCTAATTTTTTTGAATTACAAAAGCAAAAACACAAAATATATGTATATATGTTACATATACATACATTAAAAATATGTTTATCACCTGCCAAGTAAATTACGCATTGCTTTACGACTTCCTCAATTTGGCCAGCCAATAACTCAGCCATCAAGCGCAAATTTGCACTGACACACAACGGCTACCGCGCTTTAATCCGTCGGCAACGCTTTTGCACAGCATACAAGTGTCAATGCATTTATTATTTATTTACAGCCGATATATAAAATATGAAAAATGTAAATAAATGTGAACGCAAAACGTGTAAGTACACGGCAAATCATAAATAAGTCATAATCACTTGTAGTGGCCTGCAAATCGCTGATAGCGCGTATGACACTTGTGCGCATGCGCTGCAGCGTRCGCTGTAGTGTGACCAAACACATGTCAAAGTCAATCTTATCGCCGCTCACTTTATAGTAAACATTTGCCAGCGAATGACTTGTGYTCCGCCGAAGTGCAGCTTTAAGTGTAATTAACGCGATATTTTCAAAAATATCAGCATATCGGCATATACATAGCTGTAAATATAGTGGTGACTGTGTATCTGTGCGTTGCATGATTATGAAAATCGCCTAATTTATGCGGCAAATAAATTGAGCACAAATTGCACGCGCAAGCGGTAGGGAGTTAAGCAACGCGCGTTCGACGATCTCTCTTAGAGTGCCGGAAGGTTTGGAATGTTTCCAAAAATCTGCTTTTATTTGCCTCCTTTATATGCCACTTATTTGCATTGTAATCCGCTTAACACGAACKTGCAGGCGCGTAAAATTTTGACGAGCGTGACAGTGATTTTGGCGCGTAAGCCGCTTAAGCGCATTTACACTTTATGGTGTGGCCTTCTGCGCCGACGCACAAGCAGCGAGGCGCGCAAATCAGAACTCTTTTGCCCACTTACAGGCGCACTCGCTTGAGTGGCAGTTAATTGACTTGATATGTGTGTATCACATTGGTGCAACAGCATGCGCATGCGTATTTGCAACATTGTGCGGCATGCATGCTGTTTCACGAGCTTTCACTCCTTTTTTATGCAATATCTTCGGCGCTGCCACTTAACCACTGCTGGCCGTTTGCAAATGGCCACACACGTTGCTGCTGCCGCTGCGGCATGATTATGAGAAATCATCTGCGCTTTGTGGCAATTAAAATTCCGTTGTTACAATAAATTCGCTGAGTTGATGATGTCATTGCATTTTGCCATTTCTGTGCTGTTGCAACAAAAATAAAAATATTTACAAGAAATTGCGTATTTTTAGCCTACGCCGATASTCTCCAATATTTACATTAATGCCTCAGCATTTGCGCTTCGATGTATCGTTTTACATTTGGCCTCCAGTCCTCGCAGTTTGTGCCCCCAACTGGCCGGTGTGGCTCAGCGCCACCGCCGACATGCACCAGCTGTCGAAATTGTTGCATGTTCGATCAGCATGCGATTGGCGCAGCAGCCGCCGCGTGCGCAAATATGCCAGCGTACATCATCAAACAACAACAACAACACGCATGCAGCACATCAAGTCGTTCGTGGCAGCGGCGCTGATATCTTCATGCCTTCGCTTGACTCATATGCACCCGTGCGCCTGACTTGTCTAGCTGGCCTGTGTGCTGGCGGAGTCAATCCACCGTCTGCGCGCTGACTCGGTGYGTGTGTGTGATCTTGCCACTTGGCCCTTGGCTTCAATC